AACACTACTAACACTTAAAAATGGATGGCCGGGTGCATTGGCTCATGCCTGTAATCCCAGCACTTTGGGAGGCTGAGGCAGGCAGATCACAAGGTCAGGAGTTCAAGACCAGCCTGGCCATTATGGTGAAACCCTGTCTTTACCAAAAATACAAAAATTAGCAGAGCATGGTGGCAGGTGCCTGTAGACCCAGCTACTCTGGAGGCTGAGGCAGGAGAATTGTTTGAACCCAGGAGGCAGAGGTACAGTGAGCTAAAATCACACCACTGCACTCTAGCCTGAGCAAGAGAGTGAGCCTCCGTCTCAAAAAAAAAAAAAAAGTTAACGTGGTAAATTTTATGTTATGTGTTTTTACCACAATAAAACTGAATAGTATTGTTTTTCTGATACTCATCATTACTAAGCATTCAGTGAAATTAAAAATTTTACCTACATTATGAACTACGCACAGGCCCTAACATGGGAATTTTTTACTTTTTGAGATAACATAGGCTTTTGCTTTTCTTTAAATTCCTTCACCCTTTGCCCCTTTTAAAGATGAGAACAAAAATGACATGGTGAGTACATGTCTCCAACTGAAAAAGAGTAAATCCAGTTACATAGGAGTGTTAGTTCTATTTGAAAATCAATTCCTTACAATTCTACATGAGATATTTCCTTGGGAGGCACTGGAAGATGAGTTACTAACACATTCTTCTCTTCCTCACGGCATAATCTTGGCTATAACTAAACACTAAAAAGCAGCCCAATAGAAAGAAATATAACAGCTTCAGTTTGAAAGACAGGATCATACTCAAATAACTACTATTTTTAATTTCACTGACTGCTCCAATCAATGTACGATTCTGGGAGTAATGTTTCACATTCAGAATTTAAATTGATTATTAACAATAAGTAGTTTCAGGTTTGTTTTTAATAATTTCTAAGCTGTTATTTCAAACAAACAATATCACATTCTTGAAGCTAAATGTCTTACTTTTATCTCTCTAGAGGTTAGTCCAGTGGCTGGCATAAAATGATGCTAAGCAAATGTTTTTTTCAAATAACTGTATAACACTACCTGATTTTTAGTAATGTATAAAACTTTATTGAAACTAAGCACTCATTTTCTCTACTTCTGTATAACGAGTTATTGAGCATAACCAGAAACAGTCTCAAAATAAGGTGATCAGTTTCACAATTTTATGCCCACCTCTACAGGTTACCCTTTCCTGCTCCCAAACAGTAACTCACTCCTATCACTTCTAATCACCCTCAACCCCATGGCAACCATGCCAAAGTTTCTTTTCTTTTTTTTTTTTTTTTTTTTTGAGACAGGGTCTGGCTCTGTCACGCTGGAGTGCAGTGGCGTGATCTTGGCCCACTGCAACCTCTGCCTCCCAGGTTCAAGTGATTCTTGTGCCTCATCTTCCCAAGCAGCTGGGACTACAGGCGCATGCCATCATACCCAGCTAATTTTTGTATTTTCTGTAGAGACAGGGTTTCGCTAGGTTGCCCAGGCTGGTCTTAAACTCCTGAGCTCAAGCGATCTGCCTGCCTCGTCTCCCAAAGTGCTGGAATTACAGGTACACGCCACCATGCCTGGCTGCTGCTTCACCTCAAATCTCTGGTACCTTTCTCCACATTCTTACTTTTGTGGTGCCTTGCTCTATTTTTCTACGAAGATTGAAACTCAAGATTTTCCTCTTCTCCACTTCAACATTTCTGTTTTCACCCTGCTCTTTTCTGGACTCAATGAATACAAGTATTCCTCTTTTTCACCCAGGTTCTCTGTCACTATTTCTACTCTAGTAGAATCGGTCTCCTCCCCTGGCTCATCTGCAAGAAAATATTCTAGGAAGCACAAACCAACCCAATTTCTATTAGTTCCTTCTCTTCTCAGCCTCCAAAGTACTTAATGTGTATAATACTGAGTATTATATCCCAGCTAATTACATCTGACCTTTTGGATATATGTCATACTACGGTTCTTTTTATCTATGTCTTTATGGCCAAAAATGATATTTATAAGCTATTTCAGGGTAAAGATTGTCTTCTGCCTCACCATATGAAAAAGGTCTCTGCTTACCATGTACCATTCAAATATTTGTTGATAATGGAATAATTTTGTTCAAAAAGGAATTTTTCAGCTGGGTACAGTGGCTTATGCCTGAAATCCCAATGTTCTGGGAGGCTGAGGTGGGAGCATCACTTGAGGCCATAAGTTTGAGACCAGCCTGGGTAGCACTGCAAGACCCTGTATCTACAAAAATAAAAAACAAACAAAAAAATTTTTAAATGAACTTTTCTATGACTCCCATCATATTTATCAATGTACTGAACGTACTGACCCTTTCACTTGACTTTATTTAATGTATTTATTTTCCTTATTCTCTTACATAACATCTCTAATTTCTTTTCTTTCAGTTTCGACTTTAGTCACCAAGGCTGGCACTTTCTATTAATAATAAAAATGGTTACCATTCATGAATATCTAATTCCTGCCAGATATTATGCTAGATAATCTACACATATTAACTCTAATCTTCACAATAATCATGCATTTACAGAGGAGGAAACTGAGACTCAAAGGGATTTAAGTACCTTGTCCCCCAGTCTTCCTCTCTCCAATCAGTCTTTTACCCTTCAGCCAGAGTGATCTTTCTACAACAAAATCTAATCATGTTATTTCCTTCACCTAAAGCTCTTTAAGGCTTCCTACTATCTTAATGTCTAGATTCCTTAACTAGGCATAAGGTAACCTTCAGGATACCTCTTTTCTTACCACTTCTGACATCAACTTCTTTCAGTTCTTGGCCCATGCCATGCTTTCTCCTTTTGCCTCTGGATTTGGCATGGAGTGCCTTTATTCATTCACTCAGCGAACACGTAGCAAGTGCCAACTATGTGCCTGTCATTGTACTTGCAGCTGGGCACATGGTGGTGAATGAAAGAGACATAGGTCCTGCCCTCAAGGCACTTACGATATAACGGAAAAAATAAATAATTACAGGCCGGGCGCAGTGGCTCACGCCTGTAATCCCAGCATTTTGGGAGGACAAGGTGGGTGGATCACAAGGTCAGGAGTTCAAGACCAGACTAGCCAACATGGTGAAACCCTGTCTCTACTAAAAAATACAAAAATTAGCTGGGGATGGTGGCTTGCGCCTGTAATCGCAGCTACTTGGGAGGCTGAGGTAGGAGAATTGCTTGAACTGGGACCGGGAGGCAGAGGTTGCAGGCCTGGGCTATAGGGCAAGACTCCATCTCAATAAATAAATAAATAATTACAGATTGTAATAAGTAAAATGGCAGAAGCAGGATGCTGTATTCCAGAACATCTAGGGTTAGAGAGTGCAAGAGAAATCACAGTGCCTGTCTTAGTTTGGTCTGGTAAGGTCTCTGGTGGTGACATACTTTAAAGCCTAAAGTTTAAGAAGCCAGCTATGTGAAAAGCAGGAGGGGAAGTGAATGACATCAGCAAAGCCCAGACCAAGGATTTTTATAGGCCACGGTTAGGAGTCTGGATTTTATTCTAACTTCTAAGGGCAATGTAATTCACTGAACAATTTTACATGAGTCACTTTTTTCTGCTGAATGAAGAAGGGATTAGAGGGGCAAAAAATAGAAAACAGAGACATAAGTCAGGAAGATGCAGTAGTAGTTGAGGTGAGAAAATGTGGATGATTTGAAGTTGGGTGTGATAGTGAAGGAGGAAAAAAGTAGACAGATTAGATGTAGAATTGACCTGACTTGCAAAGTCATTACCCGAAATTAAGAAAGTGGCAGAGAGAGGTTATAGAGTTTGGGGATTTGTCACTGGAGAAAGTTAGAAAGTAGGCTCACTAAAGAAACAGAGTATCAGAAGGATCTGAAGCCCATCCTGAGTGAATATTCAAGAGTTTGGCCATTTTCGCTTTATACTATCATCAATTTGTGCAGGACTTTTCCCAGCAAAGTTCAGCCGCATAGGGTCAGGTACAAAGAGGGCAAAAAGTTGAGTTCATCCAGAATAAGTTTTGTCAGAAAACAAAGTGCAGGAAGGGACAAGATAATTTTTCAAGGGAGCGACATACGTTGTGGATAAGGGGGTGCAGTGGGTAGAAAACGGAAAGATCAATGCAATGGAGGTACAGATGAAGGTCAAGAACTGTCTCCCTGGTAGAAAGTGGTCCGATAGTAGGAAGCTATAATTTGTTTCTTCTGCTTGGAATGGGCGTCTCCCCCTTCAGCAAACTATTTGATCCCTAAATACATCCATCCTTTTCTGTTCCCTGACTTCCTGAAACCCAGCGCCACTCCCTGAGTTTGTCACCATCTCATCCAATCAGAAAGGCCCACCTCAAAATATTCCCTTCTCGAAGCATTTACGTTCTCCCCACTGAGATCCCTTCTCCCTCCCAGAGTGTACTACTAGTAGAATAATTCACGTGACCACGTAGTAAGTCATTCTTTTTTCTTTCTAGGCTTCTTTGGAAAAGGTATTGTTATATATATTCAAAAGTCTCCGGATCCCGCGGCAATATCCAGAACACAGCCCTGCACGGTGCAATCATTCAATAAATACTAACAGGGATTTCAGCTGCATGGGCCTCCAAACCTCATCCCTACTTGCTAAGCCAGGGTTCGCCGAAACAGAATAAAAGCGCATAATCCCTGTTCACAAAAGCCTCAGATAACTTCCATTAACCTCAAGGGTTGCCTTCAATTTCACAAATTTAATTTTAATCCCCTCTAACATTCAAAACACCCCCATTTAGCTAATGATGAGCAAACATAAGACAAATAATACCCCTGCGCGTGAAACAGCACTGGTAGGCTACTCGATAACGATAAAAAATCTGGATTCCACAATCGGAGAAATGCCATACTCACTAGAAAATAGAAAATTTCCTTCATTGTTTAATGCAAGGCCGGAGAGACCTGGGATGGGGCTAAGGCAAACGGCCCCAAGAGGGGTGTCACGAGAGTCAGTCGGCACTGGGTTCGAACTCAGGGTCTGACCTCAGCCTGGCACCTACCTTCCTCCCCTCCAGCCCCAGCTGCAAGGATCTTAGGAATGGTCGCCTCGGAGCCTGCTGCCATTGCTACCGCAAGGCGGGTTCTGCGGGAACCCAAGGCAGAGCCGATCTGGAGTGGGGTCAGAGTAGGGGCCAAACTCCGGGACCTAAAGCTGCACCACAGAAAGGAGGCCTGGCGACTCCCGCCCGGCGATTCCCGCCCGGCAACCTCCTCCCGGCGACTCCAGCCCGGCTCCCGCGGAAACGCAGGCGCTCACGCGGAGGTCACGTGACGGACGCTGGGCGGGACCACGCAGCTTTGTTTTGATTCCCCGGGTGTGGAAATACAAACACGTGGTCTGGGTTTTGGCCCTTTTTACCTAACCCGTATCTTAGCCTTCTTTCCTGTAGTCTTAGCTTCGTTTCTGCTTCTCCTTTTCTAGTCAGGTCTTTCCTTTCTGCCTCAGCTTTTCTCCACCCCAGAGGATTGGATTTTAGGGGAAGGTTTGCTGCTTAGTGGGGCTCCGGCGGTGGAATGAGTCTCTGCAGTCAGCTTTCCTGAGCCGCTCTTAGCAGCCTTGAATGCGAGGCTAGTTCACGCTCCTCTTACACCTCTCTTGCCCTTCTGGCGGCAACCTGACTCCTGATTTCCGTGGCTGCCGGGAAATACGAACCTCGGGCAAAGAATCCTGTGATTACGTTCCCTGTGACTCACTTCCCGATCCAGAGAGCTAAATTGCTTGACTTAGGTTTTCAAGGACACTAATCCACAGCTGTGGGGCTTCTGGATTTGTACACCAAAATAAACAGCTGTGTGAAGAGATCAACAACCACCTTTCTTTTCGTTTACGCTGTGGTCAAATCATAATCACTGGAGATGGATCTGGGTCACTTTGGGGCAAAAATCTTCCAGCTTTATGGACATGCCTCTCATTGCTCGCCTATTAAGTGACAGACAAAATGGGTAAAAAATTTACATATATATGAATGAAATTGACTAATTTTGAATCTCCTCTTTGGATGTGTAAGACAAAAAAATAAAAATAGGCAGTACTTATTGTACATGACAAATGATTTTTATGAGATAATCCCCTGGGACTCACTACACCTCAACCTTATCCTTTCTCCACCTATAATTTCTGAAGTTACTAACTCAACAAAACTAAGCATAAGCCCAAAATAGAAGCAAGCATTAGGTTAAGTGACCAACCACAGGTCACTGAGCTGTTTATTAGGCACAAGATTTAACTTAGACACTTCCTCGAAACCCCAGGAATACCCCTGTATTCCTGGGGTTTCGAGGAAGTGTCTAAGTTAAAGCCCAACCTCCCCGAATACAGCCTGTCTGGGAGTTTCCCTAACCCCGGCTCAGCTGTGCTTATCCCTGCCTTTTCAGCGCCACGAGTCCTCCGTCTGGGATTCGACTCCTCTCCACTCGCCGGAGTTTCCTCGCCACCCACATTGGGCATGGGCGGACCCCAGCCTCCCCGCCTCCTGCCCCGCCTCCCCGCCCGCCGGCCTCGGGCCGCGCAGGCGCACCAGGCGCGGTCGGGAGGCCGAAGGCGACCACAACAGCCTCCGCCTCCTGCTGCCCCGGCGGGTTCTGCGCTGGGATAGTCGGCTGCGACCTGGGCTGTGCCGGGCAGTGGCTTCGCGGACGACGCGTCGCCATGGGCTCTCGCTGGAGCAGCGAAGAGGAGAGGCAGCCTCTGCTGGGGCCCGGGCTCGGGCCTGGATTAGGGGCGGCCTGGAGAAGCCGGGAGGCAGCGCCTGTGCTGCCGGCGGCGGCCGCGGGTCCTGGGCGGGTGTACGGACGCCGCTGGCTGGTGCTGCTGCTCTTCTCGCTGCTGGCGTTCGTTCAGGGCCTGGTCTGGAACACCTGGGGTCCCATCCAGAACTCGGCGCGCCAGGCCTACGGCTTCTCCAGCTGGGACATCGCGCTGCTCGTGCTGTGGGGGCCCATCGGCTTCCTGCCCTGCTTCGCGTTCATGTGGCTCCTGGACAAGAGAGGTGAGGGGTCTGGGTGCGCCGGCCCACGCTGTCACTCCTCAGATAACTAGCGCCTGCCCGCGCTCCAGGCCTGCCAGCCGCCTCCCTTGGCTCCAACATAGGGGTTGTGTGAGGTGATAGAGTGTTGTTAGCATTCCATTTCTGACTTATGCACCTTCCGTCCCCAAAGCCACAAATAAGGGAAGGCTACTGCAGATATTTATGTTTTTATCCAAGCCCTTTATGCAACACCAGGGATTTAAGCGATCTCTGAATGTTCAAGTTTTTACACATTGTGAACATCAGAGCATCCGCGTGCACGTGCAGTGTATGTGTTTTACACCTGACAAAAATGACTGATGCTTTGACTTCAAGGGATTTGGGGATATTGAGGGTGAAAGGTCGGAAAATAGATCGCCGATGCCCAGATGTAAGGAAAGAATGAGTTGGTTTTGTATAGTAGATGACTCCAACCTAGGAAGAGCTATTTGAAAACAAGTCTGACACTTTGGTTTCTGGAAAGTGGTGCTCAGCAGCTTTAAAATGTGTGTATATGACTACATGGCTTTCTCAGTTGGGATTTGTGACTTCAGATAAAGCTTGCAGATGAGCGAAGATGCTGCCTTAGAATGGTACGCTGGACATCTCACTTTACCACTTGCCAATGTGATTCTCTGAGGAGAAAAAGCCATAGGGCTGAGAATCAAGGTATACTTACCACAGAAGTATAGATAAATGACTGGTAGTGACAGTGTACCCTCAAGAAGCTGTTGTGCAAGATTTTAGATTAGTTGAATAATGCTTGGGAGCTACTTTGTACAGTTTCTGTTCAACCTTTTATAAGTTTTGTTGCAGTGAGTTCTTAGTCAGATTTGGAAGGTTGTCTCAGTCCACTGGAGCTGCTATAACAAAATGCCATAAACTGGGTAGTTTATAAACAACAGGAATTTATTTCTCACAGTCCTGGAGACTGGAAAGTCCAAGATGAAGGCTCAAGCAGAATCGGTGTCTGGTGAGCGCCTGCTTCCTACACAGTGGTCTTTTCACTATAAGATATAGGAAGAAGGGGTTAGAGATCCCTCTGAGTTCTGTTTTATACGGGCAGTAATCCCATTCACATGGGTCCCACCTGCATAACCTAATCACCTTCCAAAGGCTGCACCTCCTTACTCCGTCATTTTGAGGGTTAAGATTTCAGAATACGAATTTGAGGCCGGGTGCAGTGGCTCAAGTAATCCCAACACATTGGGAGGCTGAGGTGGGAGGATCGCTTGAGCTCAGGGGGTTGAAGCTAGAGTGAGCTGTGATGGCAGCACTGCACTCTGCCTGGGGCAACAGGGCAAGAGTCGTCTCAGAAAAATAAACAAAATACGAATTTGACGGGAACACGCCAGACCACAGCAAAAGTCAAGTGTAGTTAGGTATAGAATTGCAATTCTCTGGCATGTAGTTAGCACTCAAAATTAGTTGGTTATTAAGAGAATAGAATAGCAGGGTGATGTTAGCAGCTATGCTTCCTTCTCCCCTCCTTCACTGGAATTCTTTCATTGGAATCCGTATGAAAAGACTAAGGAATAGTTGATTGTGAATTCCTTAATGATCAGCAATGTAAAGTAGCTGCTAAAAAAAGAAAGGGCAGTTTTAGGCATAGAAGCATAGTGTCCAAAACAAGAAGTAAAATAGTTTGACATGCTGTACATTAGTGTTTAGTTCAGAACTTGATTCTGAGATGGCCGTTTGACAAACTGCAGAACTTTAAAGGTTCTGTGACAAGAATGATAAAGGGTATAAAAATCATGATTTGTAAGATGAAGGGAACTTGGGCATGTCAAACTTCAAAAAGAAATGAGGCAAAATATAGACTGTGAAAATCAAGTAAAAGAGGAATTAGACTTACGTTTAGCTCTAGGAGGAAGAACTAGACTGAGTCAAGTTACAAAGGAATGTAACTCAAAGCAATACAAGGAAGAACCTTCTAACAAAGATATCTAGCCCTGGATGGGTGTGTCTTGACTGCTATAGAACTTCCAGCTAGAGTAAATACTTTTGCAGATGTTGTGTACTAGATGCCAAGGAAGGGCTTCTCTTACCAAATGGAGATTTTCTTTGGGTTTTTGTTGTTTGCTTTTAAACTAAATAGTGGTTTTATTTGGGTTTCTGCTGGGTGCAGTGGCTCACGTTTGTAATTCCAGCACTTTGGGAGGCTGAGGGGGGTGGGTCGCCTGAGCCCAGGAGTTAGAGACCAGCCTGGGCAACATAAGGAAACCCGGTCTCTACAAATAATACAAAAATTATCCGAGCATGTTGGCATGCACCTGTAGTTTTAGCTACTGGGGAGGCTGAGACCGGAGGATCAATTGAGCCCAGGAGGTAGAGGGTGCAGTGAGCCATGACCGCTCTATTGCACTCTAGCCTGGGTGACAGAATGAGACCCTGTCTCAAAACAAACAAAACCAAAGAAGTACTTTACCTATAATTAATCTTACAATAATATTTTTTTAAAAGAAAAAATATTTTATTTGTTTCCGCTGATGTATTTTTCTTCTGTTCCAGGATCCAGTCTAGGGTCCTCTGTTGCATTTAGTTGTTATTTCTCTTTAGTTTCTTCCAATCTGTGATAATTCCTTGGTCATTCCCTTAACAAGGTTGGCTAAATTCAGGGGAAAATGCTGTTTTGTAGTTTCTTTTGATTTTTATCAGGAGCATTTTTCAATATTATTCCCCAAACTTAGCCAACCTTGGTTTTAATGGTAGAAAAATGTTCATTTGCACCCTTATTATTATTATCGTATTTACTATCCATGGCAGGGTAAATTAGAAACTACTCATTCACTTTATAAAATCAGGTACTTTAGTTCTTCAATAGTTCTTATGACTATGTGGTGAATTCAATTTTATATTTTCCTTTGGTTGAAGCAGCAAAAAAATACATTTTAAAATTCTCTTTATTAGGAAGTAGTTTTCATTTTCAGTAGGAGAAAGCAAATACTCTTTCATAAGTTGGCTTTCCTGCTACAGGTGTTGCATCTACACACGTAGAAAGCAAGTTCATTCTTTCTTTCTTCTGGCATCCTGGGGTGCTAAAATATCTTTTTTTTTTTTTTTTTTTTTTATTTGAGACAGAATGTCACATCGTTGCTCAGGCTGGAGTACAGTAGTACAATCTCAGCTCACTGCAGCCTCAACCTCCCTGGGCTCAGGTGATTCTCCCAACTCGGCCTTCTGAGTAGCTGAGACCATAGGCATGCACCACCATACCCAACTGGTTTTTTTGTATTTTTTACAGAGAGAGAGTCTCGCCATGTTCCCCAGGCTCGTCTTGAACTCCTAGGTTCAAGCAAGGCACTAAAATGTCTTGCTCCTTGGATTGCTGCCTGGTTGTTTGGCCTTTATGCTGCCTCAGGCCCCAGCCTGATTAGCATAGAATACTGGTTATCTTCCTAAAATGGGTTTGTACATTCCCACCCTTTTTCATTTACCAGCAAAGAGACAGAAAAGGACTACCTAGAGAGATCATAGAGCCAAGACCAAGTGTGTCCTCAAAACTAACTGAAGAAAGTTTCAAGGAGATAGCAACCAAATGTGTTCCATGCACTGTGGATATTGCCCTCACAGAACCTCCTTCTACTAAGGAATACAGACAGCAAACAAGAAAAGTAAATATTTAGTATGTCACTTAGATATTGATACATGCTTTGGAGAAAAATAAAGCAGGGTAAAGGAGGAGGGGAATGTGATAGTGTGGGGTTATACTTTACATAGGGGTTTAAGGAAGGCGTCACTGATAAGGTGTATTTGAGCAGACACCTGAAGAAAAAACGACGCTTGACATGTTAGTTCTCGAGAAGACTGTAAAGGGAACAGCAAAGATAAGGATTCCAAACTTGTCTGGCATATCCAAGAAAGAGCAATGAGGTCTTTGTGCCTGGAGTAAAGCCAGTAAAAGAAACAGTGGTAGGAAATGAGGTCAGAGAGGTAGCGAGAGGCCAGGAGATACAGGGCCTTGTACATCATTCTTAAATGGGATGTCAGCCATTAACAGGTGAGGAGAGCTCACTTCATTGACGGGCTTTGTGTGGAAGAGTAAAACGATGACTGCTCTTGTCTTTAGAACAAGAGCCAGCACAGGGAGACAAGTTAGGCTAGTAGAATAACCCAGATGGGAGCTGATGGTGGCTTTTGACGAAGGTGATAGTAGTGGAGGATCTGAGAAGTGGTTAGATTGCAGCTATGTGTTGAAAGTAGGTTCACCTGTATTTGTTGATGGATGAGATATAAAATATGAAGGAAGGAAGATGAGTCAAAGCTGTTTCTCAACTTTTTAGTATTACTGGTTAGGAGACTAGAGCTTCAATTTACTGTGTTGCGGAAGATTGTAGAAAGAGCAATTTTGGAACAGATGGCATGGAGATCAGGGATTTGAAATGCCTATTAGATATCCAAGTAGACAGATTAAACTGTCAATTGGATATACAAGTATGGAGTTCAGGGGAGAGGCCTGTGCGGTATGTTTGGGAGTTCTCAGCTTGCAGTGGTATTTGAAGTCATGGGGTTGGTTCAAGCTCATTCTTGTTGATATAAAAAAAGGAAAATATAAAAATTGTCATGGGGCTAGTTGAGACAATCTCTGGAGAAGGGTGGAGCTTCCCGGGAGTAGAAGACTGAGCCCTGGGGCATTCCAAAATTTAGAGATTGGGAAGTTAAAGAACCAGCTAGGGAGGACTGAGAATAGAGCACTGGATTTAGCAACATGGAGATCTTTTGGTGTCCTCTAAAAGAATCATCTCCCTTGAATGATGTGGTGAGCTCAAAATAAAATGCAAGGAGAGGAATCAAAGACAGTGAGTGTGAACATTTCTTTCAAGAAGTTACTACGTAAAGGGCAGCAGAGAAATGGGCAGTAGCCAGAGAGAATGTGGCTGCTAATGAGGTTTGGATTTTGTTCTGTATTTTTTTTTTTTCTTTTTTCAGTAAGAGATATTGAAGCATATGTATGTAATGCAGTATCCTAACAATTCCATAAAAAGGGGGAAATTGATGATGCTGGAGAGCAAGGGAAGAACTGCTGTAGCCACGTAGGCAAGATGGGAGGCAGTCCTCTGTGAACTCGGAAGAAGAGCTCACTCATCACCAAGGGGATGGCCCAAGCCATTCATGAAGATCTGTCCCTATGATCCAAACACCTCCTACCAGGCCCCACCTCCAACATTGGGGATTACATTTCAACATGAGACCTGAGTGGGAACGAATACCCAAACTATGTTAGGCTATTCTCCTGAGGTCTTCATAACTATTCTCCCTTGATGAGTTGATATCTTTTTGATTACATGGAATTTTAGAGTGATGGCTTGTCAAGATGTGAGTGACATGAAGAAAGCATTTTATTCAAGATTGTCAACTGGGATAGATTAAACACTTGACAACAATTAAAAATACACAAGAAAGTCACCACACTGTACTTGTGAGGTTGCTTTATTTTTCATTTTTGTGTTTTTGTGGAGATGGGGTCTCACTGTGTTACCCAGGCTAGTCTCAAACTCCTGGCTTCACGGGCTTCTCCCACCTTGGCCTCCCAAAGTGTTAGGATTATAGGCATAAACCACGGCACCTGGCCAGAGGTTGCTTTAATAAGCAGTTTTTCACAACTTCTTTACTCTTAAAAGTTTTTATTAGCTGTTATATTGTCAAAAATTTGATAAAAAAATATAACTGAGTAAAGCATGGTAGCCTTCAGCAGTAACAATAGGAAGCCTGGTTATTGGACCATATGGCCATAAACAGTGCCTCACTACATGCTTGGTGTTTGCTTACCTTAATTATAAACAAACTCCTTAGAAAAACATAAATATGGAGAATGTAAGCCTTATGGTCCCCAACCTATAAAAATTAAATTCAGTATCTTGTAGGGTACCCAGTATATCCTTATAAGAGAAACATTTTGTGATTTTAGGATATTTATGACCATGTATGTACTTTTCATTAATTGCACTCTGTTTCCTATGGCTATAATGTGATTTTAAAGTCTGTTAGTAGAAGCAGTAAATGAGCAGTATATATGCATTACTTGTTACTAAGAAGCACAGTTCCCTATGGTATTCCTTCTGCCAAATTGTATTAATCATATTCAGATTATATAAAAATATTATAAAGTAATTCAGTTCATATCACAAATTATCCTTAACGTAGTGTGTGTGTCTGATATGGATCTCAAGTTTATTTTCTTTGCTGTGTTTGATCTGCATAATTATAATCTTGTTGACTTTCAATTTCCTTCAAGTAGAGTAGCTCTTTGAAAACCAAACATTTAACCATGTACTCTCTGCCAAAAGAGTGACGGAGAGAAAGCCCTGGAAAAAAGAAATATTACGTTAATCAGTTTAAGTCTATTCTCTGTGTGAAGTGGTTTCAAGGTGATGTTAGATTTGGGAGAAATTTGAAGCAATGTGGCTACCTTTGCCATAGACTTAGTATGAGCCACCTGTGATGTGGCTGCCACAAACAGTAAGATATGTTAATTTAGTATTAACAGAGATGTAGCATTCCAACAATAGGAAGACAGAGTTCTGTTAGATTATTCTGCCATAGCTAGAATATTGTGTCTATTTCTGCTTATCTTATTTTTATATTTGTATATTTTGCCCTCTGTGTGACCAACCACAGATAGCTTGTTCCCCTTTTATTCCAAATACAATAATTATTTTGTTGTATTTATTCCAAATAAATACAATAAATAATTCTAAATAAATAAATATTCTAAATAAATACAACAAATAATTGTTGTATTTGGAATAAAAGGGGGAGAAAACTAAGTGATCCACATTGTCTTCTAAAGTCATAAGCCATGATTTTTTTTAAATGTTATTAAGCATTATTCTGTAATGAAAATCATTGGATAAATCAAGAAAAAATAGAGATTGTGATTATATTAATCAGAGACATCTAAAGGACCACTTCCTATGATCCTTTAACAAGTATTAGCTTGTTCTGCTTTTGATAAAATATGTAGTTCCCTGGTTGTCATTTTTTAGAGAACTTAAAGCAATCATCTATCCCCTTAATATGCTTTTTAGGGACAGTTAAGAGTTTTTTTAAATTAGCAGCTTACATTACATTTTTCTGTTAGAGATCTAAAATTAAAATATCTAGTCTTTTAAAATTATTTTCTGTATTTTAAGTATTATATCTGAACGGTATATTTTAGACATTCCTTTTGAAAAATTAGAACTAATAGAACTAATAGAACTTCTTCCTCTGTCTTTGATATGAACATTCCTATTTTGTTGTTGTTGTCGTTTTTTTTGGAGACAGAGCCTCACTCTGTTCCCCAGGCTGGAGTGAAGTAGTGTTATTTCAGCTCACTGTAGCCTCCACCTCCCAGGTTTAAGCAATTCTCATGCCTCTGCCTCCCGAGTAGCTGGGATTACAGGTGTATGTCACCACACATGGCTAATTTTTGTATTTTTAGTAGAGACAGAGTTTTACCACGTTGCCCAGGCTGGTCTCAAACTCCTGAACTCAGGTGATCCATCCACCTCGACCTCCCAAAGTGCAAGGATTACAGGTGTGAGCCACCATGTCCAGCCCATCATTTCATTTTCAGCATGTAGGATTGGTTGGATTTTATTCCATTTTTAAAGTTGTAGAGAAAAGCCATAATATTAGCATATAATGTCAGTATGATTCACTAAAAATAATCTTTATTTTTAACATTGGGCTTAAGAGAAAATAGAAAATAATTTTAATGTTTTTCTTTCATTTTAGGTCTCCGAATAACTGTGCTCCTGACATCCTTCCTTATGGTTTTGGGAACAGGTCTAAGATGCATACCTATATCAGACTTAATGCTTAAAAGAAGGTAAATCCTGTAAATAACATTTCCTCCTGATTTTTCATTTTATTATGTATATAAATTTTTAAGATCAGTAAAGGATCATATTTATAGAAGCATTTATTTTTTTTTACGCTATATGATGATTAATTTAATTGATATTTATTAGTTGTCATATGGAAGACACTATACTGGTTGTGGAAATAAAAAGAGCAAGTTAATCTTCATATTATCAAGGAACAATAATCATGAGAAAATAATAGTATAACACACCATTTATAAGTATAATAATATAACATACTATTTATATAATAATATAGTTAATGCTACAGAAGAAATACAAAATTGCCCCAAGAGACTAGGAGAAGGTTCGGCTGAGGGTATCAAAAAGAGGAGTTCATAAAGGAGTTGGTAATTAAACTAGGCATTGAATGATGAGTAGAATGTTGTTAACTATAGTCAGGGGAAGGGTATTGCAGGATGGGAGAATAGCAAGAATGAAGCCATGGAGGCACGTAAGCATAGGCCTTTTCTGGGTTGGGTAGGTGGTCTTATTTGTATATAGCAGCCTTTCTGCAAGTGGGACCATGGATTTATTCTTAGGGAGTGTAAGGTATATGAAGGTTTTGCATTTCGTTTTTATATTGGTTATAATACAGTATTATTTTACCAGTAATCTGCAATAAAAATGCTTTTTTGTTGATCAAGATGTCAGTTTCTTGAATTAGTGTTTCACAGACTGGGGTCCTTGGATGTGACCTTGGGAGTCATTGAGAAATGTTTTCCCCTTCAGAAGAACGCATAAATTCCTCAAGTTCGAGAGATACTGGTCTACAGTTGAAGGTGTAAGAATGGGATATAAAGAGATGTGGTTAGAAGTGGTATTTTGATTCTGAAGGATCTTGATGCCATCCTCTATTATTAACAGTGTACTTTCCTCACTGGATAGTAGGAAGCCCCTTAGGATTTTAATCAGAGGAACGGTAGTATTAGACCTGTGTTAGGTTCACTGTGAACTGAGATATGTAGAATTGATTATAAGGGGTAGAGGCTGCTGGTAGAAGACCAGGAAAGATACAATGGGACCCCAAGCTGGATTATTATTTTGTTTGTCCATTTATTACATCATTCATTCATTCAACAGAATTCACTGAGCTTCTATGTGCCAAGCTCTGTTGTGGGCATTGGGAATATGGTAGAGGATAAAGCAGATAAAAATTATCACCTTGTAGTTTCATTCCAGTCAGAGAGACCAGCAATAAACTAGATAAATAAATAATATATACAATATGTGCGTCGAGGGTAAAACAAAATAGTAAAAGGCGAGGGAAGGATGGTGAGATTTTCAGAAAGAAAAACTTTATTGGCAAGATAACCATTTTGGGATAAAAACCTGACAGAAGTAACGGATGGTGCAATATCTGGGAATCAAGCATTATATGCAGGGAGAGCCGTAAGTGTTCAGGGCAGAAGGGGGACAGGCATGCCTGGCAGGGAGGCTGGTGTGGCATGGGAAGAGTAGTAGCAAATGAGGTCAGAGCAGTTTATGGGGTGGTAATGGGAGTGTGGGACCAGATTTTTTAAGACCACATCAGCTCCTCAGCTTTTTCTGAGCTGGAAACCATTGGAGGTTTTGAGCTGAGAGTGCCAGGGTGCTAGGCTGTTCCACCGAGAATGGACTGAAGCTTGAGGTCATGGGCATAAGTAAGGAAAGTTGAAAACTAGTGCAATAAACCAGGTGAGAGAAGATGGTGGCTTAGACCATAGTGGTGGCAGTGGGAGCGGTGAGAAGTGGTCATATTCTGATTATATTCTTGTCCATTTGCTGACGGACCAGATGTGGGGAGTAAGAGAAAGGAGTCCAGAATGATTCCATGCTGTGGGAAGTTGGGGGAGTGGAAAGGATGGCACAGACCTGAGGGGGAATGTGAGAAAAAGAGATGGGAGGTGATACACTGGAGATTTTTACTTGAGGGACTCTGAAATTGTTGATTCCATTAATAGATGGGGAACATAGAAGTGGGGGAGAGTAGATTTTGGGGACAAGATGTTGACTTTCTTTTGGAACAGAATTTTTCAGTTTCAAAATAAATGTTCAGTTTTGAATTTTCAAAATGTGTTCTCATTTTAGAAAATTCAGGGTACAAGGGTTCATATTTTAAAAGGGAAATAGACAATCATCTAGGTCCCTGTGGAAAGCTAGTCATAATTTTCCATCTTTCTGAGGTAGATTTTAACACAAATCTCATTATTGTGTTTGAGATGCTCTTAATTTTTGAAACACCCAGGGGTGTATTTTTTCAAGCATCCATAGATTTTAAGTACAGATTTTCATATAAGCTTAAAATCAACACTGCTTTCTTTTAATGCCTATTAAGGCCAGGTGCAATGGCTTACGTCTATAATCCCAGCAATTTGGGAGGCAGAGGCAGGTGGATCTCTTGAGGCCAGGAGTTTGAGACCAGCCTGGGCAACATTGCGAGACCCCATCTCAAAAAAAAAAAAAAAAAGCCTATTAATATTTTTGCTAGCTTTTCTTGTTTTGGGCCATCCATACTATTACTTGTCTCCAGTCTCATATCCCTTTATATCCTTTCCAGATATAAAATTCTGGGAATAATAGAGTTGACTCTCCATCTTGTTGAAGAAGATGATATGAAAAAGAAACAATTCATAAAGAAATGTAAACAAATATAGAACAGATAAGAAGTAGAACCAAACAGTTCAAAGATTAAATCATTCTTAAAAAGAATGTATAATTCGAATTTTCAATCTTATGCATTTATCTATGAGGAATATAGGAGAATTAACCCCTTGAAATAAGACTTCATTTTGTGGTCTTTAAGCATTTCTTTTAAGCAGTATTATTAAGAATGCATGATGCAGCTGTTAAAATGAAAATGCTACAATTGGCACATGTATTTTCAACAAATTGGGTCTATAGAAGCTTTTAAGCTTCAGTCTCCATCTGACTTTCCAGGGAAGACCAGTGTTGAAACAAGCATTTAGAATGTGTTTTTGTGGCCTTGTTTCACTTGGAGCTTTTTGAGCTTCTGACCCAGCCTTTTGGAATGGCTCCCCTGCACCTTTGACTTTCTGTATCTTAACCCCTTTGAGTATCAAGACACAAGAATAGCAGCATTCTGACAAGTTCTTCCTAATGGTGTTCTACTTCTATATAATGTCAGTATTTCTTCTATCTGCATAGTACTAATGAAAATTCAGGAAAAAATTATTTTGCCACATTTCTCTTATAACAGGTAAGTGAGAAACTTGGAATAACAAATTATAAAGCATTTTTTCTTTTATGATCTGGAAGGAAGTAATACAAAAAAATTATAAATGGCATCACTCTATTACAATGAGCCCTGTTACTCTATAGTGTGAAATATTATTATGTTGCATTCATGGTAAACAAGAACTTCTGGATGGCGAACTTTTAGTAAGTTATATCTACTCTTAATAGATAGTGATTCCCATAACACATGCCATATATATTTTTAAATTTTATTTTAAGCTCTGGGATACATGTGTAGGATGTGCAAGTTTATTACATAGGTAAACATGTGCCAGCACATGCCATATTATCTTTCAATTCAGTGTAATTTTCATTAACATTAATAATACTTAACGTTTACTAACATATATTAAAATAGTTTGGTTTTAGTAAACATAGATTTTTCTAGAAATATACTCCATTGTGAAATTCTTTGCAGCTGGCAGGATTATGTTTAAAATGACCCTAACAGAAAAGATGAATTGTTTAGTGAATGATTTTGTGACAGCTGCTTAGCTATCTGAAAAAATAGGAAGAAGAACCTAGATTCCTGTCTTACCACTTAAATAAATCCCAGTTGGATCAAAGACTTACATGTAAATAAGGAATCATGAAAATATTAGAACATAACTGTTTTAAAGAATCTGAGGGCTGAGAGAGGAACTTCTAACTAAGACACAAATCCCAGAAGCTATAAAAGAAAGCCTTAATACATTTGACTATGTAAAGATTTAGATTATCTTTATGACTGAATATACTATACAATCAACTGAAAAGATAAGTTAACGGGGAAATATTTGCAACAATAAGGCACATGAGTAATTCCTTAGTTCTTTGAAGTCAATAAGACGAATAGCAACTCAGTAGGAAAATAGGTAATGGGTATGAGCAAGCAATTACAGAAGTTGAAATATAAATGGCATGAACTCAAGAGAAGTTCAAAAGAGTTCTTTCTTGAGAACTCGAGAGAACTCAGGAGAATATTCATTGTAATTAAATGAATGAAAATTAAAATAGCAGACAGATGTCTGTTTACTGGCAAAGATGAAAAAAAAATGATGATGTGCTGTGCCTGAGATGTGGGGAAAAACAGGCACTGCGGATATGTGAGCTGTTTGGGGCATCCTGTTTGGAGGACACTTTGGCAATATTTACCAGATCCATATATAGACGTCCTTTAACCTACACCTATATTTGCACTTATAGAAAATTAGCCCACATATAAAACTGTATCAGTTTGCAAGAATTACCATGTTTGTACAGCTTTGCTTGTAGTAGCGGAAGGCTGAAAGTAACGGATGCCTTTGGCAGAGGACTGATTATGATGCAGTATATCATGGAATAATATTGCACTGAAAAGGAAGTAAAAGCCGTAAGTGCTAATAGGGAAATATCTCCAAAATACATTGTTGAGTTAAAAGGCAAACTTTAGAATGTTACGTTCTTACTTAGAAAAAAATGAGAGGGGTATCATTGGTTGTTTCTGGGGAGAGCATCTGAAGAATAGAATTCTGAGGTGGAAAGGACATTTATTTTTTATTTTTTACTACTTTTGGTAATATTTTTACCATGTGCATATATTACCTTTTGTTTTGGGGACACACTCTCACTCTATTGCCCGGGCCAGAGTGTGGTGGTGTGATCATAGTTTACTGTAGCCTCAAACTTTTAGACTCAAGGGATCCTCCTGCCTCAGCCTCCTAAGTAGTTAGGACTACAGGCGTGTGCCATCACACCTGGCTAGTTTTTT